AGTTTAAATTTATGCCTCACTAGTTACTAACTATATAAAGGATTAATAAATGGGTATTATATATATTAGAGACAAGGTAATAGACTTTAGTAATAGTAAAGGTAGAATCCCAGAAGTTTTCCTTCCCTTGCCAAGACTTTCGGGAAGGAATTTCTATTATATAGAATTTAGGATAGGATATTCCTATTCCTATATACTTAAAAATTCTGGTTCTATTTATATTAGGGAGTCCCATGGGATAGGAATCCCTTTAAAAAATAAAAATATAGGAATTTTCCTCCTAATTTTTAATATCCTAAAATAATCCCTTCCCAATCTTAGCACGGGACGGGATATTCCCTTTCCCAAAAATTTCAAAAAAATTATCCCGATTTTTTGGGAAGGGAATCCCATCCCGATTTCCCATGGGAATTTCCCTTCCCAACGGTCAGCCTAATTGTGCCTCGCGAACAAGACTTGGAGGAAGCATGACGGAGTCTAGGATTCAGGGATACGGAGGCACCCAGGAACGAGGCTAAATAAGTTAACGTGATCGATCACCGAGCTGCGCGGTCCCCACCAAACTGCGCGCTCACCACGAAGCTTTTCAAATTATTATTATTATCACAACCACAGAGCCATGGCTGATAATTCGAAAGAAGGCCGTTTACAATTAGCTATAGATGCTTATAAGCAAGGCCTTTTGCATCTAAAACTGCTGCAGCTAAGGCATTTAATGTCCCTCCAAGAACCTTAATAACGCGTCTCAATGGTAGTACTGCTTGCAAGGAATTAGTTGCAAATAGTCGAAAATTATCAAACACAGAGGAGTTAACTCTTATTTCATGGATTATTAATATGGATCGTCGCGGCCTGTTTCCCTGAATATTAACTATACGCTACCTAGCTTAGCTACTTCTCTCCGCGCAAATTCCATCTGCTCCAGCTATTAGAGAGTGCTGGGTATCAAGATTTATTAAACACCACCCGGAAATTAGTTTAAAATACAACAGACGGTATAATTATCAACGGGCAAAATGTGAGGATCCAGAGATTATTTAGGAGTGGTTCCAGCGGTTCCGGGATACTATACAAAAATATGGCATCTGTACTAAAGATATTTACAATATAGATAAGACAGGGTTTTAAATGGGTGTTATATCAACTGCAAAAATAGTCTATGGTTCAGAGACAAGACAAAGCAAAGTCAAAGCAGTTTAACCTGGAAATAGGGAGTGGATTACTACTATTATTGCAATTAATGCATCTGGATGGGTATTGCCACCGCAGATTATTCTTGCTGGTAAGAATCACCAATCCTAGTAGTATAAAAATATACCAAAAGACTATCGCATCTTTACAAGCAATAATAGATGGACAAATAACAGTCTAGGCTTAAATTAGCTACAAAATTGCTTTAATCCGCATACAGCGCCACGTACAGTTGGGAGATACCGTCTTTTAGTTATAAATGGACATAGTAGCCATGCTATGGCAGAGTTTAATAAATTCTGTACAGATAAAAGAATTATTCCTTTTTATTTACCTCCTTATTCTTCACATCTTCTACAGCCACTCGATGTGAGCTGCTTCTCGCCGCTAAAATATCTCTACAGCCAAAAGATTGCAGATATAATGCGAAAAAAAAAATCTACTCTATTAAAAAGCAAGACTTTTTAGCGATCTATCCTTTAGTTCATCTGCAAACTTTATTAGTATTAAATATTCGAAGCGGCTTCGAAGCAACTGGTCTTGTGCCACTACAACCAGAGACTGTTTTTTAAGCTTAATATTTAGCTTAAAACACCAACTCCACCGTCCACATCACATAGCAGTGAGTCTTTTTAGAATTAGGAAGACTTCTGCAAATCTATATTAGCTAGAGCAGTAAAAGAAACAGATCCAGTGCCTTCGGAACAAGCTATCTGTCTCTCCAACTGTTGTGCAGCAAGCCATGGATAAGATTATTAAAAGCGCAGAGGTTACAATGCAAAATGCTCTCCTAACAAAACATAAAATAAATTAGCTCCAGGAAGGTAATAGTTATTAAACAGAGATGCAAGCAGCACCGCGAATATTTATCCAGACTGGAGGAGGCCTAACAGGGGAAGAAGGGCAGGAAAAAGCTCGCGAACAGGAGGAAATACAAAGGCAGAAATTAAAAGCACCATAAAGGCCACCAACCTGCAGTAATTGCAACAAGGCCATAATAGACTTCAGTGCCCTAGTAAATAATGCTGTCTTAATTATATAATAAAATCGCTTTATTTTGTTGAGATATTAGTCAATTTATAAGGCTGCTTCGCATGGGTGCGCAGTTTGGTGGGGACCGCGCAGCTCGGTGATCCGCGCCGCTCGGTGATCGATCACGTTAAAGTAGTTGGACACCGAGCGGCGCAAGACACCGAGCGGCGCGCCGCTCACCGCTCCGGCTCTCCCTCACCTCCATCTTACTTTAGATAATATTCATACCATTTATCTCCATACAAATGAAATGTATTATAAAAAATACGCAGTAAAACTATCTGGTAGGACATTTTAATCGATTATGGCCCTGAATATTGCAATTACTGCATGTGGGAGGCCTTCGCTGCCTAGGTGCCTGGGCCTCGGCCTGAATCGTTGCCTCCTTCTCGCTGATTATTTGATGTGCTGTATCAGCAGTTAGACTGCCTCCATCTTGAATAAACTGTCTAGGCTCTTCTTTTTTTGCTCTTGGTACTTATCACCTGCCTGACGTCGATGAAGTTTATCCTTTAACAAAGATATTTGCTGCATAGCAATCTTATTGCCTTTCATAGCTTTCTCAAGCAAAGTATCAGCAATCGATGGAAAAAAGCCTTGGTTTTGAATCTCAAGAAGTTGCTCTTTTTGTCGATTTAATTGGTAGAGATTATAAGGTGTTTTTCCCAAGTAAAATGACTGGTTACTGCCTGAAGAAGATGGTGGACTTGGTGTTTTTAACTTGATTTTTAACTTTGATATCACTGTCGAAGAATCAAGAGGAATAAGGCCAGTAGCCTTAAATCCACTTAATATATTTGCCGATAACATTGCTTTTGAGTGAACCAATGAATAGATAGATAAAAAATCTACCTTATTAATAGTTTTTATACCACTATTCATCATTTCTTGCACTTTTTGACCATAAAAGTGCTTTAAAGGTGCAAAACAGCTAAATCGAGTGGTTAAGAAGGTGAGATAATAGGAGGCATATAAAGTGAATAATTAAATTTTCCATGAGTATATCAAATTCAGCAGTTGCATGGCTCCCGTGGCCATCTAAAATAAGTAATCGATATTGACCAATAGTGCGGGATCTTGTATGCTTGTTAAAAAACTTCTTGTAGCCATTCAAGTCCCAGATTATTATTAGTCCAGCCATTCTTACTAAGACTTAGTCGATAATCTTTAGGTAGAACAGAATACCACTGAGATTGATGTTTTTTCCAGCAAAGATAATCTGGGGGTAAAACCCAACCACTTGCTCTAACAGTTACAATTAATGTAACCCATTCTCTATTACCTGGTTGGATTAATTTAGCATCAGATCTGCGTGTTTCTGCGCCGCAGACAACTTTGGCTGTTGATGTTACACCCATTTGGAAGCCAGTTTCGTCCATGTTGTAGATATCTGTTCTAAAATGCCATATTTTTGTATGTATTTTAAACCAATTAAAACCAGCCTTGAATAACCTGTGGATCTTCACACTTCGCCCGCTGGTAGTCATATCGACAATTATATCTTGACTTAATATCATCATGGCGGGAAATAAATCGAGTAACCTATTTACTACTGACTAGATCAGGGATAGAGGCCGGGGATAACAACGAAGTCTTTTGACGTGCAGATATTAAAAGACCAGCAAGATATTGAATTTGGGAGATCCGTTGAGGCAGACCACGGTTAGCCATATCAATAATCCATCTTTTTAATGTATCCTCTTCAAGATTGGACAATTTCCGGCTATTAGTAATAATATTATTGCGGTTGCTTTTTCCTTTAAGTCGATAAAGAAGAGTTCTTGAAGAGACATCAAATACCTTGGCACAGGCAGTTTTGGATAAAAATTGGTTATTATTCCATGCATCAACAGCCATTTTTATTCTCTTATCCATTGGTATGGCACTCATTTTGGTATATTAATAAAATACTGATGAAAATCAAGATAAAAAGGCTTTGAATACTGAGATGTTTGAATATTTCCAGGAAGAGCGGTGAGCGGCGCGCCGCTCGGTGTCTTGCGCTGCTCGGTGTCCAACTACTTTACATACAGGTGCTGACTAAGATAGTGCAGACCGGCACCCGCAGCAGAGGGTTCCAACAAGACTTGTTGTTGTGGGCGCATATTATTCCCTTTCTTTAACGATTTCTTACTGTATATATCTAGCTTCTAGATAGCGAGGTCTTGCCTTCTACAAATACTGCACGTACAGGGCGTTTAATTCTTTTTAAGATCTTTTTAAGATCCTAAAAATGGTCCTATAATCCCGAGCCTCTAAGCGAGCGCACAGTCGCTAGCGCTAGGCCCCCATCTGGAACCTCGGCTCAGCCTCCCACTTAGCGTCCCTCTTTACTATTGTCAGATATACGGCTAATCCCGAAGAGGAAATAGAGTACGATTGGTAAAAAGGTCTTATTTGAATGAATTGAGCTGGTTTGGGCTCTTCTTGATTATGTTGATTCTTCTTGTTGTTTTCGTTGTGTGCTCCGCGGAGGTTTTACCCTATCTAGTCACATGATTCTGGTCCACCAAAGGCCATATTATTTGACAACTATTAATCTAGCTCTGGCTCAGCATCATGGGTTTTCGCTGAGTAATAGCGCAAGATCTTCTTGGTGAAATACCAAGTTGCTATTCACAGCCGCTTGTATCCACATAAATTTGCGCGAGGCAGCACTCTCACAAGTGTAGTGCCCGAGTTGTGTCGCACTTCAATTGTAGCTCCTTATAACTGCAGCTGGCCTTGGAGAATCTTATCTGAAAAGCGTTCAGTATCAAATACTCGAAGCCTCTACAATGGACGATACACAAGCCGACTGGGATAAATGGCGGCACCCTCTTGACCGCGACCTCCCTCACCCTTGGGTCCCCTCCTTCCCAGTACCTATCGATACCTCTTCCAATACGCCCGCCACCGTCTCCATCCTCGCCCGCTATTCTCGTGAAAGCAGAAACTACCTCCTCCTCATGAACTCCCTCTCATGCCCGACTCTTACCTTTGAGCTCCAGGACCTCTCCCCAAACCATGCATTCTCGTTGGCCGAGCTGCATTCCTTCTGCGGCAAGGCTGCCGGAATGTACGCGATTGCGGATCTGAGAGGGAAGCCGGGCGTGCAACCGAGGCAGAGAGGTCTGTGTGGACGGCTCTATGGGGATTGGTTTAAGATGGTTGAGAGTGATTCGTTGTTTGAGACGCGCTTTTTTGCTCGGTTTATGCAGACGGATGGCTTGGACGTCGCGGACATTGTCGCGCGTCATAGAGCCCTGAGCCAGCAGCTCGAGACGCAGATGAGAGACCCAGTTGAGCGGGTTGTGGAGGGAGAGGATTTCGCCAGGAAGGAAGAAAGAGAGCATCATGGGGAGTGCACGTTGTTGCCGAGCTTCAAGGATTTGGTCGTTGTAGTTGAGGAGCGGAGCTTCAGGGCTGATGCCTTGCTTTTTGTTTTGGATCCTGGACTGGCGCAAGGGATTAAGGAGATGGAAGGAGCAGAACAAAGCGAGATTGGGGGACAAAAGGTTGTTAGATTAAAAGCAGTCATGGAAGATATCATGCGTGCTGTGGTTGCGATACAGAAGAAATCTGCTGTGAAACACAATGGCATCACGGGATGCTTTAGAGAGAACTAAAGCGGGTTAGCAAATTGACATGGACCTATAGAACTATTACTGATCACTTCGGGTTTGACGGCGGGCATCAGAGGCTAGTCCGTTGAATAGGCCACATCATAAATCTTGTTGCGAAAGCCTTTCTATTTGGAGAAAACCATTAAGGATTTGAAGATGAGATTCCAGCCGTTCAGGCCCTTGAGGTCGCTGTGACGAATACCACTAAGCCACTACTTTGTGGAATAGGAGTATGAGCGTTATATACATAGACTAGAGGTGTTATCTACATGGCCTAGATCCTTGTCCTCTTACATATATAAACCCCCTATAATTCATAGCTTAGATAGAGACAGTTCTTCCAGAGAGTCATTTAACATACACTCACCCACTTATTAGGCAGCGTCTGTGTAGCTGACCTAGCTTCCTCTGCCATTATTACTTCCTTTGAGTCTATGTCGGCCAAATACTCAGACAATCAAAGGCCTGCAGCTACAACTGCGCATAAGAAAATGCACTATGTTGGCAAGGTTTTACAGCAGGCAAGACTCAACTGTCTGTGAATATTAGGTTGGATTGTTAATTTAAACAGGGAATTTTTATAAAAGAGAGGTAAAAAGATAAAGGAGTCTGAGGCCTTCCTAGCAGAAAATCGCAAGATCGACAAGTTCCTGGAACATATGCTAGATAAACATGAGAGTAGGAATTCCCCAGCATGTGATGTCCAGTTTGCTGAGTTAAGTAATAAATGGCCATGGAAGGGGAAACATTTCAAGATCGATGACCTTAATACATGTAGGCAACATAATTGGAAAACCCATAGACATGCGAGCTGAGGGAGGGGAGACAGGATAACTATAGAGAACCCTAGTAGTCAAGTTAATACAGGAAATGCTGCGATCCCTTGCAATAAAAGCAGAAGAAAGCAACACAAAAAGGTCAGAACAAGATAATCCAAAACAACAAAATTAACAAAACCAGCCCTTCCTGGTTAAAACATTAGGCATGCTACCATCTGTAGCAGGCGCTAGCTTAAGGGAAGTATATTAGAATTACTATTCTTGATCAAGTAAAGCCAACTAGAAGACAAAGAAGAAAGCAACACAATTTATAAAGCAACAGTGATCTTATTCAGTAGTATGTTGATCCTCTAAAGGGATCGGAGCGGAGCGGGTGGTTGAGTGGAACGTATGGTACCGGTAGACATAGAATATAATATTAAGTAGAGACTTTAATCTCTATAAAGAGATATAGGCTTACCTAGTATGGAAATATAAGTAAAAAATGTCAAGGATAGGTCAAGAATCGGCCAAGCTCGGGTCCTAAATCCTTATCGATAAGCTGAGTACACAATGACGCAAAGCTATAGTAGTATCTTAATGACGTGTTGATGCATTGTCATGATCTTATTGACTGTATCGTTATCTTATCTATGAGCGTCCTATATATTATCTTGATCTATTCGAAGAAGAAGAGATCAAGGATTAGTTTTTAAAATATCTTGATATAGATATAGTGATATTCTTTTCTACTATCTTACCTAGCTGTAGGCTGACCGTTGGGAAGGGAAATTCCCATGGGAAATCGGGATAGGATTCCCTTCCCAAAAAATCGGGACGATTTTTTTGAAATTTTTGGGAAAGGGAATATCCCGTCCCGTGCTAAGATCAGGAAGGGATTATTTCGGGATATTAAAAATTTAGGAGGGAAATTCCTATACTCTTATTTTTTAAAGGGATTCCTATCCCATGGAACTCCCTGATATAAAAAGGACCAGAATTTTTAAGTATATAGGAATAGGAATATCCTATTCTAAATCCTATATAATAGGAATCCCTTCCTAAAAGTCTTGGCAAGGGAAGGGAAACTTCTGGGATTTTACTTTTACTATTACTAAAGTTTGTTACCTTGTTTTTAATATATATAATACCTATTTATTAATCCTTTATATATTTAGTAAGTAGTGAGGCATAAAACTTAAACTAAAGTAATAAAATTTTATAATAGTATATATATAAAATATAAATACTATAAAATAGTCCTACTAATTTATTACTTACTAGCCTTGTTTTTATATACTATTACTAGTAGTTATAAAGATTATATACCCCCACAACTATTAACTATATCTTAGATTTTATAACTTAAGGAGAATAGTCGTCACTGTGCTTTTACTTACTAGAATACTACTAAACAGAATACAAGATATAATAGCTTTTATTAGGATAATACTGTTACTTAATTTTATTATAAACCTAGTTATATTATAGTGTATGATTCTAATATTAATTTAAATAAAAATCCTAAATTTAAGGGTGAAATAGACCTTAATAAATTAGAATTAGACTTAAAGTCAAGCTTTAATTTATTAACAGAATTTAGAAAGCAGGGCGATAGTAAGCAGAGCAAAGGTAGGCAAGGTAATAGTAAACAGGATAAGAGTAAGCAAGGTAATAGTAAGCAGGGTAAAAGTAAGTAAAATAATAGTATTTTAAAAAAAATGGTATAGTGTTATATAATCTATTATTAATATATTTAATTACTTCCCTTTTTTTTATAGTAAGTTTTTTGGAGGTATTAAAAGGGCCCTGAGGTTGCAAGCTAACTATTTATAAAAATTTTTAAATAATCTGAAGAATAAGATATATATTTTTAACTATAAAAGTTGTATTATTATTATTTTTATTATTATTATTATTATTATTCTTCCATATTATAGAGCATTTTTCAGTCAGAGACTATGCATGCTCTACTACCACCCCTGGGTGGTAGGTATAAAAGTTGTATATTTTTTATAATATATAAGTTTATTTAAACCTATTAAAATTAGTAATTTATACTATTACTAAAAACTATTACTTACAGGCAAATAAATAAGTTATACTTATTTTAGTAACTTCCTGCAGAGTATTAATTACCTGGGGTGTTATATAAAATTTAGGGTTAATTTTTTTTATAGCTTTATAAACAAGGTGTCTAAATGCAATATCGCTCATCACACGGCCGGTTATGTAGGAGACTGGACGAGGTAGTAGAACACTATGAGCTGTAGGGACAGTCGAATAGGGACGGGGGCCCCAGGGGCCGCCCTGATGGCGGCCCTGGGGAGGACTGAGGGAATTCTATTGAGTCTTCTGGATGAATGTATTGCCTAAGCTATCCTTGAAGTCCTCTGTCTCCGGTCTGCTACTTACGGTAGCAGACCGCTATTTAACCTAATGTCTACCGAGGTCTTCCAGTGCACTGCCGTGGGATCCCATATCATACGATCTAGGATCGTATGATGTGGGATCGTGTCTTCGGAGTGCCTACGTGTTAGAGCCATATTCGTCAGGCACTATACATCTTAGTCATCCGGGATGACATCAATATATATTTAAAAAAAAAATAAAAAGCTAGTTTAGTTTACATAGTAATAAATTTTTTACTTAGACTCTAAAGCAATTATTAGTAAAATATAATACTAAATAGATTAGTTAATATTTACTAGAAAGGATCTTGTTAGAAAGGTCTGGGACAGGTGCTGGTTTAATAAAAATATAATTATTTATAATATAACTATTTTTTTTTAAAAACCTATTTAGCTGTATAAACATGCTATGCTTTGTACTATTTAATAAAAGCCTTGTTTAAATTATTATTATTTTTTTAAAGGCTAAAAACTGTTACTATATTTTATTACTAAAAAAAGTTAAGCTTCCCTTACCTTAAACATATAGAGTATGCTTGGGTTTTTTTTAAAGTAGTTTTTCTAGTAATCTAACCTGGTAATCTCTTCCTACTAGTATTCCTTTTACCTTTTAGTGGTATTTTGTTAAGAAAATCACTAGTAACAGACCAATGTAACAAGAAAATGCAGGAAAAAGGTAAAAAAAAATATAAAAAAGGAGATAATAAAGGTAAAAAAGAGTAAATAAAAAAATATATTAGTAGTAAAAAAAAGGTAAAAAAGGTTAAATAAGTAAATAAAACCTTATTTATTTACTAAGTCCTAGGTAACTAATTATATTTTTTTTTTTTTTTTATTTTTTATTTTTTTTTATTTTATTTTTTCCTAGCCTTGTCCTTTATTACTTTTAGTATTTAATTTCTTTATTTTTCTAGCTTGTAGCTTAACTACCTTTTTTTTATATTTATTACCAAGTGTTATTACCACTAGTTCTTAATACCTTGCAAAATATCTACTATTAAATAAGTGGTGAAGGCAAGGAACTGTTGTTAAGTAAAAACTAGACCTAAAAAAAGTTACAAAAAAAGATATAATACTAACTATAAAGTAAAATTTAACTGTTTTAAAAAGCTTAAGGAAACTGGAATCTGGTATATAGTAACAGCTTTTAGTAATAATTATAAAGCCTAAGAAATATATAGGAAATTAGTACCTGAGTTACTAAAATAACAGCTTAAAAAATAATGCCCTTGTGCAGTTATAGTAAAAAAGGTTTAATATTAAAAGGTCTAAAAAGTGGTATAAAAAGCAGCTTTAGCTTTTAAAAAACTTAGAAAAAAAGTAGTAATAGCTATAAAAAAATATAAAGCAGCATGCAAGATTTTAGCTAAGATTTTTTTAAGCTAGCTATTATAAACACCCTAAAAGTAATAATTTTTAATAACAGATTAAAAAAAAAGATACTAATATTAATTAGAATTCTATTCTTTTATTCTGGAAGCATCGCCAGTCCTGCCTGGTTAATTTTTTTTAAAAACAAATTTTAAAACACGGTTGTAATAAACTAAAATTAATTAATACTTCTAGTAAGGCCTTGGATTAAGAACTTTATAATTTTTATAACTAGAAATCCCCAATTAAACCAATTTGGGCGGGTGATAATAAAAAGAATTTTCTAGTAGTAAAGTTAAGGTATTTAGGGGAAAAAAAGTAAGGACTTGGAAGAATTTAAGAATAAGTAGTAGGTTATTAGGAAAATCTAATTATTATTAATTAGTACTCGAGGCAAGTTTTTTTTAATAGTCTAGTTTAGTATAAAATTAATAATTTTTTTAATTTTTTATTAGGCTGTTAC